GAAAAAGAAAGACTGAAACGAGAAAATGAAAGAATTATTGGGGGATAAGCCTGCTGAGTATATCAGCTGAGTATATCAGGTAAAGTTCATAGTAAAAATTTTATTGAAAGGTTATGGGTAAGACAGAAGATAAGATTGTAGAGCAGCAAGGAGAATTTGGGAAGGGTAAGGGATGTGTAGACAAGTGTTGACATTGAAGCATATAAGTGACCAGTATTTACGCGAAATGCTTTTGCTAGGTTTACGATTTGTTACATCAAACAGTGGGTATGATATTTTCACCCTGATTAGCACTGAACGGTATATATACACTCTTTAGACAGTTGAAGCAATGACTTCACAGTAATTTATGGAAAATATTGATTACCAGGGAAGCTGCTTGAATAAGGCAGATGACCTTTTACAGGCAAAGAAGTTGAACTGAGATAATACTAATAAGAGTAAATATGGATATATTTACTTTTATAATTTAAAGGACCAATCCAATATCAAGTCCAATATATGTCATCAGGATAAATTGTCTCATCTCAGTGTAGCCGATATCAACACTATCCTCAGTTTGCCTCCAGGCTGAAGCACCTGTCTACTTGTCTCAGTGGACTGAATACCTGTTTACTGATTATTAAGAGACCATGGTCTGCCTTTACTCTAACAGTTTATCAATAGAGACTTAGAAGTGAATATTTCAAGGTAACTTTTAACCATTTACAACTTTTCTTCAAAATTACCCAATTCATAATCCGCAAATTGCAGTCTAGCAGCACTTGCCTCTACAAGTACCGAAATCTTAGGGACTGTCTTAGAAACTTGAGGTCAAAGAAAAACCAGATGGGCCCAGCTGTCGCCCATTAATATTGAATCAGCACAGCCTCAAGGACAGAGGCTTCACATCCAATATTACTGTTTTTCTCTTACACACGAGGTATCACTTTACCTAATGGACAACAGAACTGTCTTCCTCTCCTCTCTGTTTACAAATTCTAATTTTAAAATTTTGAAAATTATTTTTGATGTACGTAATAGCTTAATTATAAGTGAACTGGTACATTCTGTTTGAGCGGAGAAGAGATGTCACAGGATTAATAAACTTAATGTGACTGCCAATAGTCAGAGAGCACACAAGATTAAATTTCAATTTATTATGAGTGTACCTAGCCAATGTAATTTAAATCAGTGTTTCTGAATGTTATAACTTAAGTGACTATAAGAAGGAAGCTTAAAACCCTTTACCGGGCAAGAACGAGTGTAGTCGGGCCTCATAACGTGGTTTTTGTGCACGTCCTACAACTCCCCCAGCGCATCTAGGTTCCCGTTCTCTATTTCTGACCAATCACATACCTTCCCTGAGTCGCCCAGGCTGAGCGGTGATGGCGGCTGCTCGCTTCCCATTGGTCGAGACAGCAGAATGTAAACACTTCTACCTTGCCGGCGCCAAAACTCGTGTTTCTCGGTATAGTGCTCCTTATATACTGAAGCATTTCACCAAATACAATGTCGGTAAGTACTGATGTGTGTGTCTAGTGTGTAAATGAATAGTTTAGCCATATTTTGATATATATATGAAGGCGTTGTGAAGCATATTACGAGTGCACATGCACATGAACAAAGTGCAACAAAATAGGAACAAGCCCAGTCGTTCCTGCCCTTTTAGGTGCAGTTTTCAAGTTTCGGTATATAAATATTTCCATAAAATTTGGTAGTGTATATATGAATTCAGTAATGGTCTGGGTGTGTACAGAATGTTTTTATTGTCCTTCCAGATCAATAAGAAATTGTTCTACGGTGAGTCCTCCAAGGCTACCTCGAAATTTGTCTGTGTTTGGGATGATACTGAGTCAGATCAAGACTCAGATGACATGGATTTCCTGGATAGTGAGGATGAATTCTTGCCACCAGATGCAGAGGTGTCAACAGATGGGGAGGAGGAAGCTGGGCCACCACCAAAAAAACAAAAAGTGAACAAGAGGAAGAAACGTATTACTATGGAGGAATACCCTGATGAAGAAGTGCTTCAAGATGATCTTGCTTCTCAAGTAGACACCAAATGGAAGAATGGAGTAAATCTGTGCATAAAGAAGGATAGAAATTGTTTCATGAACTTTCATTTGCAAAAATAGTGATGTGAAATGATTGTTCTTTCTCAGGGAACTCAGGAATATTTCATTTGTAAGTTGCATCCCATTGCAATGTGTCATTGTTGATAAGTAGTTCCTATTTCTATTTTTTTACTGGTTACAAATTGTTCAGAAACAAGTTCCATTTATGTTTTTTATATTGTCTACTTGTATAATAAATTTAAAAAATACTTATTTCGTTTTTTTACAACCAATGCAACATTGCAACATTCAAAAATGGTATACCCCAAACGGGCAGGACCGAATACACTCGGTCTTCGAATATCTGCAATTGCGCGAGATGTTACTTTCACAACTCTGTTTGGATGGTCTCAGTGACCTTACATTGAGTGGCTCTATCCCCTCATAGGAAATCACTTTCAAATTCACACTTTAGACTGCCTTGCCCTCTTCAGTGACCAATTGAATGTATTTAGTCATAAATCTTTTTACCTAAGAAAGGTTTCAGTATTTTCTGTAACAATGACAGCGGTTAGCTATTACTTAAGATTTTTTGTCGAGAATTTAATTATAGCTTCAAAATTGTTCCCAAGTAAGAACTTTCTTACGCTGTTGTTCCAGAAAATATTGACGTACTTCCTAGATAAGATCAAATACCTTTATAATCCCTGATGATTGTTATATTAAATTTTGTACGTGAGTATAAGTGAACAATAATTTGCAAGTGTACTAGCAGGTGCACAAACATGTGCGTATGTTTATAGGCATATGTAAATGTGTATACGTGTATGCATGTATGTACGAGCACGTGCACCTGTTACTTGTGTATATTCGTTTGTGTAAGTACATGTGTATATATGTTTGTGTACGTACGTGAGTGTACCTGTTCGTCAATGGGCGCCTGGAGAAAGGGGTTTTATATCTAATAACCTTGAATCATCCCTAAATAACAAGAGCATAACTCTCAGCGGGACACAAACTTTCAACATTAATCCTGCAGACCTCTGAGCGACCATTAAACTTTCTCAGCCTCTTGTTACCCCAGAAAAGAAAGGTAAAAGAACATTCTTTTTTTATGGTTTTGATAAAACGTGAAGACCATTCATTACTGGACAACGAATAAGGCAAAATATATACGATTGTTACTGAGAAATAATTCATCACACGTTGGTAAAACTTCAGAATATGATATGAAATTAATTTCTGTGAAACAGTCTTGTGGAGTTTATAACATAACTGGCATAATAAATGAGGTTGAAATTTCTTTTTGTTTGAGATAAAATTGAGTGTTAGCTTATATAAATAAAATGAGTCTGAAAACATTTTTTTTAAATCACATCTTCAGCAATCCCATCAAAATAATGTATACAAAGTTTCTCTTGATGTTCAACTATAAAGAATGCACAGTTTTCCTCTCGTAATGTGAATAAAACTTTCACACACAGACACACACACACACGCACACACAACACACACACACACACACACACACACACACACACACACACACACACACACACA